TGGCCTAGCCTGTGTAACTTTGACCTAGGTGTGCTAACTTAACCTAACTTTTTTAAACTGGTTCCTAACTGTGGCCTAGCTATGATAGCTTAACCTAACTCTGTAAACTGGTTCCTAACTGTGGCCTAGCTATGATAGCTTAACCTAGCTATTCCACATCCGGTTTTCGAAGGACCCACCTTTTTGTGAAAATTTGTGTGGACTGCCTCCAAGTGGAGTCGCCTACCCTGGCAACTCTGTTGACACCGAGCTCTGAGGTGGGTACCTCAGCCTCACAAAGTGGCTTATAGAACAGATTTTCACAAATGATTGGTATTGCAAAAAACTTTTGCCTGCATGCACGTATAAAGGACTAACTTACTTGGTGTTGGCAGCATATATCCTGATCTTCAACTTCCTAAGCCTAGCTTTAGCCCCTTTGACTTCCCCTTGGGAACCACGTGCAACGGGAGCATTATTCCTGCAATATTCAATCGTTATTAGTGTCCTGCCTGCACCTCAGAAATTCCTATATCCAAGAGGGTATGTAATCCCCTAGTATAACTATGCAGACTCAGACGCTAGCTTCAAACGGCTCTGAGACGCTGGTACTTACTGGGCATGCTCTCTTCTCTGTAGCACGCCGAGCCCTTCAGTAACTCAACCCACAATCTCCTAAGACACTGGCCAGATCCTACGGGAAAAGGTGAATATCTGTCTTACGTATGGGCTGATGGTGGAGATCATCTACGGTACATCGAGGTGCCTCTACCAGATTTCCCAGGTCTCAATTGTGAAGACACGTGGGGGCGCCGCCTGCTGTTCACGGCACGTCTTGTCCAGTCGGTGTCTATCGTAAGAAGGACGCTATTCTGTCTTTGTGACCTGCACCCCGCCATTCAAGCTAGGGCTGCCAGTTCTCCCTAGCTAACTTATCCTAGTGTTTGCCTACATTATCGGCCTATTACTACCTATGTTAAGGTCTTAGGTCTACTCTATCATTATCTACAGATGCCTTAGTAAACCTAATATTAGTGTACTACCAGTAAAAACTACCTACTCCTTCCCTGAAGAGTAAATCTATAAATTAAATAAGCTTACCAACCGCCAACCAGAGAATGCCGTGTTTGGGAGGGTTTAAGGGCCGCTCGGCTCAGACGACCAGACGCCCATGCTGGATCTGAGCTGTGGAACTATTTGGACCAAATAAATTTCCACAATAGGTTTAAAAATGCAGTATTAGAATGTGGGGCAGGAGATTGTCACTATAGGAGAGTGGGTGCAGGAGGGAAGAGGAGTGATTGGTGGAATATGAAGTATAGGGTTTTAATAAAAGAGAGAAAGGTAGCTTATGAGAGGTTTTTACAAAGCAGAAGTGTTATAAGAAGAGCAGAGTATATGGAGAGTAAAAGAAAGGCGAAGAGAGTGGTGAGAGAGTGCGAAAGGAGAGCAGATGATAGAGTGAGAGAGGCACTGTCAAGAAATTTTGATGAAATTAGGAAAATGTTTTGGAGTGAGATAAACAAGTTAAGAAGCCTAGGAAACAAATCGATTTGCCAGTTAAAAGCAGAGTAGGGGAGTTAGTAGATGGGGAGCTGGAGGTATTGGGTAGATGGCAGGAATATTTTGAGGAACTTTTAAATGTCTATGAATAAAGGGAGGTGGTAATTTCATGCACTGGCCAGGAGGTTTAACATCTTTTAGGAGTGAAGAAGAGCAGGATGTAAGTGTGGAGGAGGTGCATGAGGCATATGTAGAATGAAAGGGAGTAAAGCAGCTGGAACTGATGGGATCATGACAGAAATGTTAAAAGCAGGGGGGGGGGGTATATAGTGTTAGAGTGGATGGTATTTTTGTCTAATAAATGTATGAAAGAGGGAAGATACCTAGGGATTGGCAGAGAGCACATATAGCTCCTTTATATAAAGGGAAGGGGGACAAAAGAGATTGTAAAAATTATAGGGGAATAAGTTTTACTGAATATACGAGGAAAGTGCACGGTAGGGTTATTATTGAAAGAATTAGAGGTAAGACAGAGAGTAGGATTGCAGATGAGCAAGGAGGCTTTAGAGTGGGTAGGGGATGTGTAGATCAAGTGTTTACATTGAAGCATATATGTGAACAGTATTTAAATAAAGGTAAGGAAATTTTCATTGCATTTATGGATTTAGAAAAGGCATATGATAGAGTAGATAGGGGAGCAATGTGGCAGACATTGCAAGTATATGGAATAGGTGGTAAGTTACTAAAAAGCTGTAATGAGTTTTTATGAGGGTAGTGAGGCTCAGGTTAGGGTACGTAGAAGAGAGGGAGATTACTTCCCGGTAAAAGCAGGTCTTAGACAGGCATGTGTAATGTTACCATGGTTGTTTAATATATTTATAGATGGGGTTTGTTAAAGAAGTAAATGCTAGGGTGTTGGGGAGAGGGGTGGAATTAAATTATGGGGAATCAAATACAAAATGGGAGTTGACAGAGTTACTTTTTTCTGATGATACTATGCTTATGGGAGATTGTAAAGAAAAGTTGCAAAGGTTAGTGGATGAGTTTGGGGAAGGTGTGTAAATGTAGAAAGTTGAAAATGAACATAGATAAGAGTAAGGTGATGAGGGTAAACCGATTTAGATAAAAAAAAAATTGGATATCACATTGGAGAGAGGTAGTATGGAAGAAGTGAATTTTTCAGATATTTGGGAGTTGACTTGTCAGCAGATGGGTTTATGAATGATGAGGTTAACCATAGAATTGATGAAGGTTAGCCAGCAAATAGATTTCAGTTATCCAGTATTGTTCTGGCTCAGTGACTCCTACACCTAAATCTTTTTTTTTTTTATCTTATTCTGACTACTGTTTTCTTGTGAATGTCACTATTAATCAGATTAGTGACATGTTAGAGAGACCTGGTCTCTAAACCAAAAAATTAACCCACATCTAAAAAGAATAATAAAAGATTAAAGATTTTATTTTTTGCACTGGTTACAGTACATATGTAATTACAATTTTGATTTTCAAGTATAAAGAAAGCCACTATCATGCCGGGGCTTTTTGGGGTTGACACAAGTGTGATTATGCAGATGTAATTTTGCGGGCTGACACAAGAGTGATTATGCAGACATAATTTTACATTATTCACAGTTTTAGTTGCACAGAACCTCTAGAAATGTACATCTGCAAATTTGTAGGAACAACTGTATCTGTTGTAAAATCCAAGAATATGCTGAAATTGCTGGAAATATGATTACAGTGTTCTGTAGCTCAATTGCTAATGCACTAAGCTCACACACTGAGGTCTGGGGGTCTATCCCCAGTGTGTGTGGAAACATTAGGACATGTTTCCTTAAGGCACTGCTGTCCATGTTCACCTGTCAATAAAATTGGTATCTGAGTGTTGGTTAAGTAGTGTGGGTTTCATCCTGAGGACAAAAATTGTGCTAATTTCCCCTGAAATGCTCTGCATAACAAGGGGTTTTCTATATAGTAGTATGTCATTGATGTCAGCTAGGCCTGTATACCTAGTACTTGTACTTGTTGAAACAAAGAATATTACAGTGGACCTCTGGATATTGTAGTTGTTGGATTTCATAATACATGTACTGTATTCGGAAATCGTAACTTTTTTTTGTCAAAATATTGGCTTGGTGATAGTCATTGAGCTTGGTAATAGTCATTCGTCCCGAGCGCTTTCACATGGCAACAGCACCTGACACTCAGTGTGCCATTGTTTATCAGCCAGTGAGCACACGTTCATACGATACATTTCGTATTATTCCATTCTTTTTAGTTCTTGCAACTACTAAATAAGCCACCCATGGGCCCCAAAGAAAGTTCCTAGTGCCAGCCACCCCTTTGGTAAAGGGCTGAGATGAGGGGAGAATGTGCCTTCTTCAGTGATTTTGTGATGTGTACGATACTAAAGCAGCAGGAGTCGATAAAGGCTATAGCGCCAGCCAGCGATAAATGTAGCATTAACAGTGTAGCAAGTAAGTTAAGCGATTAATCAATAGAAAAAGGACAGCATGAAACTGACTCCTCCAGTGTTGTTGGAGGTATATAGGGCTACTGACTAAACACCACCACCTCGGGCTGCTGCCATCACCCCCACAATGTAAGGTTTTATACACCCAACAACAAACAACACAACAACACTTGTCGGTTAGGGAGAGAGACATATGACATATTTTATTCATTCTAGAGTATATATCATGTTTCTATGTTATTAATATGTTTATTATGTCATATTAGATGAATTGTGCTAGATAAATAAGCTGTAGATATTAATGTCATATTGATATTAATGTCATATTGAAGGACTTTCTTGTCCTATCTCCCAACACACTCTCCTGCTGCCGCCCACAATTCCTAACATATGCCAGAAACAGACCTTTCTGGAACACTTTTTTGAGTGACAGGGGTCCAGTGATTCTCAAGCTGGTCCTAGGGCATTAAAAAACAAAGAAGGGAAGTAACCCCAGAAAAGACTTGGTACCTGAAGTCTTTACGGAAGGGTATTTCCCTTCCAAACAGTAATTTCTCCATCCTCTCCTCTCCTCCCGTCTTCAATACACTAAGAAGAGTCTTCAAAAAAGGTTAAGTGTCATGTTATTATTGTTTTATTCTTCATGTCTCATTGTTTTCTGTGTAGGTAAATGTGTATTTCATGTAAAAAAATAATTTTTCGTCAAATTCGGCTTTAGTTACACACTCTGGAATAGATTAATTACGATAACGAGGGTTCACTGTATTATAATATTATACACATTGGTTCATCCTACAGAGTAGACCTGCCTCAGCATATTAGTTGTTTTATAAGGAATTGTTTTGGGGGGAAGATGTATAATTAGGACTTCTTGTATTTATTATTTGCAGAGTTATGTTTGCAAAATTGTCTATACAAACCCAATAAATATTTGTTTGACAAGGAACAGTTTGTCCTATAAGAATGACTGCCATCTGTAAAACAGTGAAAAGTTATTATGGTTCTGTCTCTAATTACAGATTATTTACTTGGACTAATTTTTCAGGCTATGGTGTGACAGGAAATGGCAAAACAGTCTTCGTGAATGCTGCTATGTGTAACATCCACTACAAACCTGTGAACCCGCCTATTGTATTTGACCTGCCTCTCCCTCATGGCTTTAGCAAAAATGTTTGTTGATATTTGCTACCATGGCCAACTTGTCTGCCTTAACCCCTTTAAAATGTCCAAACGTAGCTTTACATTTGCTCGCGTAGCGCTCTGAACGTAGATCTATGTTTTTTTTTTTTTACATGCTTACCTATGGAGAAAATCAAGGTCAGAGTGCTATGCATGAAAATGTAGATCTACATTTGGACAATTTAAGGGTTAAACATTTTACCATTAAAATAATTTTTATCAATAGCATTTTATAATTACAGTGCTGTATGTATGTGAAATATGGACCAGTATTTCCAGAAGTTTGAAAAAGATAATTTTTAACAATAAAATTAGAATTTGTAATTTGTGTATTTTTAGCCACATTTTCTGAGCAAAATTTGTCTTTTTTTTATGAATGTAAGATAGGTCTTTCTCTTATAATGATAGTGTTCTGAAAATTGTTCAGTTGTTCAGAACTAGGAACCCATTTTTCCATAAGCACCATGTTGTAAGTGGAGATGCATTTTTCACCCATAATATTCCATATCTAATTTAGTTTGTTTTTCAGTATGAAAACTGAGAGACCAGTAGAAACAATGAGGATAGCATTAACTATTCAATTATGGGTCCATCAGCTATAAGAGCTTCAAAAGTTTTATTCCAGCAGAGCTGGAGTTACTATTACATGGGAACACCTTCAGTTGGGATGGCCTTCCCTTACACAGGAGAAATGGAATTTTTATGAGAAATATTTCTATCCCAGAGTGGGGACAACAGAAATCATATATAAGAGACAGGATAAAAAAGAGGGGGGAGAAAGAAATTTTATGACATAATATATCCAAGTATGTACAATAGTGGTATAAACCTTGGTAATAAATATTGACAAGTTAGTTTTGAAAAACACGTAAGCAAACACTAGGACACATTAGAAAACACTTCGGTCCTGGGACCGAAACTTCCTTTTCTCAATGTCCTCCTGTGCAGATCTCCCAACAGTGACAAACTTCTCTTCAAAGTGTATGGAAAACCTACCAACAAGGACGATCTTATACAATTATTCACACCAAGACATCTGCACTAAAAGAGGAGTCCCATTGGCTTCTTGAGAGCTCTTCGCACCTCCAGCCCTTGTTTTCTTGAGAATGTATTTACATAATGTCTTCGGTTTCCATCTTTCTTCATCTGAGATTGCAGACTCAAGGCACGAGCTATCCTCAACAAGCTGCCCATGCAACAGCCCTCTAAGCAGTTCATAGTGCCCCATGTAATGATGTTGCCACGATACTCGCTGGGCACTTGCTAAGAGTAACATAAAAAATAAGAAAGAAGGAACACTGCAACAGGAAATACTGACCCATGCAAAGCAGGTCCATGCCACCCCCCGGCCTAGAAAAACAACCACCTATTCAGGTCGCTTCCTCTTAAGGAAGGAGCATGGCACCAGACCTGGTAGCACAAGCTAATCAGGTCCAACTCTCACCCACCCACACCCACTCATGTATTTAGCCAACCTATTTTTAAAACTATACAAGGTCTTAGCTTCTATGATGGTACTCAGGAGTTTGTTCCACTCATCCACAACTCTATTACCAAACCAGTGCTTTCCTATGTCCTTCCTGAATCTGAACTTTTCCAACTTGAAACCATGCTGCGGGTCCTGTCTCAGCTTGATATTTTCAGGACGCTATTTACATCCCCTTCATTTATTGCTGTTTTCCACTTAGCCCCCAAATTCCCCCCCAAAATCAACACCTTTCTAAAAGGTGCAGATTCAGGGCCCTCAGTCTGTCCTATAGGAAGTTTTCTGATACATGGGATCGCTTTGTCACCCTCCTCGAGTTTTCCAGTGATTTATATCCATTCTGTAATGGGGAAAAGAACTGGCAGCATAATTTTAAAAGAAGCCCCCAGGATATATAGGTTTTAAGAACAACTAGAACTTTTATTTTTTATACTTTTGTATGAAGCCAAGGGTTCTGTTAGCTTTTGCAAACCTTATGCCCCGGTTTTGTTTCAGATTTTTGTAACCAGAAAATCCTAAATCCTTTTACAGTCATGTATTAAGATGTCCTTTCAGTTTATAAATGGCTGGTTATTGTCCTGTCGAAAATTAGAACTTTGCATTTGTCTTATTAACTCACGCCACTTTTTGACCACGCATCAGTTTATTTAAATCACCCGGAGTCACTAAAATCCTTTTAAAAAGATGAAGGATGCTCTATTTTGGGGTCATCAGAAAATTTTCTTATGTCGCTATTTATTCCCTCTCTTATCGCTTATTAAATTGTGAACAAAAATTGGCCCAACACTGCCTCGTGGGAAAAACCGTTGTGCGGCCCCATTGATTTTTCCCTTTTTATGCAAACTCTTTTGTTATTTTCCACCATCCCCTTTACCCGGGAAAAAATTTCTCCTTTTCCCGTGTCCCTTTAAAAGTTTCCTCAAAAGTCTCTGATCTGGAACCTTACCCAAAAGGTTTATGAAGTCCATATACACAATCAATTCATTACCATGACTACCCCCTCAAACACCTTAGTAAAAAAGTTAGTTTTACAATTTTGCCTATCAAGATGGTTCGAATTGCCTTGGAAATTTTTAAATTTCCCCTATTTTTTCCCCCACAAGGGAGGAAAGGGTTTTGGTCTAAGTTAAAAGCAAAGGCTTGTCCCCTTTTCCTTTAAATAGGTATTACTTTTGCCATTTTTCCCTTATGGGCACTATGCCTTTGAGTGATATGTTGAAAGTTCCCCAAAGGTTTGAAAAAGTCCCTTTACTTTCCCCTTAAAACCCCTTGCAAGCAATTCATCGGGCCCTGGGGATTTTATTTTCAACCGTTTACTATTTTTTTTATTTAAAACACTCGATTCCCCCCAAGGGGGGTGGCCCCAAAAAGAAAAAATTTCCCCTCATTCACTCCCACGTCTTGCCCGAAGGGGTTTACACTACAGTTTTTTAAAATGAAAATTAAACCCCTCCCTTTAGAGTGCAGGCACGTACTTCCCCTCTCCAGGATCAAGCCGGCCTGCCCGGTTTCCCTGGATCCCCTTCAAAATGTTTCTTTGTCACACTCCAACGCACGTCAAGTATCAAAAACCATTTTTCCCATTTACTCCTATCAAACACCTCACGCATGCCCCCTGAAAGTCCCCAAAACCCCCGCACACACAACCTCCTTTACCCCCTCCCTCCAACCTTTCCCCCCGGCCGACCCCCACCCCCTTCCCCTTCACTACAGACTGAACACTCCCGAAATCATTCTGTTTGCTCATTCTCTTAATCCGAACCCCTCAACAGCCCCTTTTTCAGCCCTCTGGACAAAAATTTTTGGGAATCCCCCCCCTCTCCTAACTTCCAAACACGAATTCTCTGCATTAATTCACCCCACCTTTCCCCAGACATACATCCCCACCCCTCACCCTTTCCCCTCGCTGCAAACTTCTCCCCCATGCTTCACCCCATAAAGAGCTTTGGGAAAAAACTAACTCCATACTTTTCCCCCCTTTCCTCCAAGGACAAAGTTCTTTGTTCCACAGACTCCAAAGTGCCCCGTCACCTTTTCCCCTCATAAATTCTATGATTACCTCCTTTCATAGACCCCCCGCTGACACGTCCCCCCCCAATATCTTAAATTCACCTCCTCCATACCTTCCTCCAATTGATATCCAAATCTTTCATTACCAAATTTTTTTTTGTTATCCTATAACCTTCCCTTTTCCCTGGTTCATTTTTAATTTTTCTTTTTTTCATCACTACCAATTCACCACCATCTCTGCAACTTTCTTCAGAAACTCCCAAGAGACAGTTCCGAAAGACAACTGTGACAACTAACTTTGTGTGTGATTCTTTATCTTTTAACCCGCCTTTGCCCCAAGACCCCGGCATTTCTCTTACAACCCCCTCTACAAATAATTTTAAAAAACCCCCGGGGAACACACTCCTTGTCTAAGGCCCCACTTTTATGGGTAATAATCTCCCTCTTTCTTACTCTCTAACTTTAGCCTCCTATCCTCATAAAAACTCTTTTACTGATTCAGAACTACCTTTACCCTACACCGGAAAATCTGCCACATTGCCCCCACAAAAACCTCTTTAGCCCTTTTCTAAATACGTTACTTATATTTTCACTGTAAACATGGTCCACACCCCCCTACCTTTCCTAAAACCCCCTTGTTTTATCTGCTATCCTATTCTCCGCTTTTTTCCCTTTAAATTTTTTCAATAAAACTACCATACACTTTACCAGGTAAATCAACAGATTAGCCCCTTAATTTTTTGCACCTTTTTGTCCCCTTTGCCCCTTTTTACAAAGGAATAGCATGCTCTTGCCAAATCCTAGGTCCTTCCCTTTTATACATTTATTAAATAAAAGCACCAACCCACCCCAAAACTATATCCCCACTTGCTTTTAACATTTCTATCTTTTTTCCATCAATCCCGGTGCCTTCCCCCTTTCTTTTTACCTACTGCCTCATGAATTCCCCCCCAACACAACGGCTCTTCCTACTCCTAAAAGTTTTATTCCCCTTCCCCTATACACGAAATACAGCTTCCCTATCTTATCAACATTTAACAATTCCTCAAAATTTTCCCTTTCCCCATCTTCCCAATACATTTTTAAACTTCCATTTTAATAACCTTCTTCCTTTTTTTTTAACTGACAACCCATTTTTTTCTCTGGGTTCCTTAACTTGTTAATCTCACTCCAAAACTTTTTTTTTTTCAAAAAAATTTGTTGTACATCTCACCCACTCTTCTTTTTGCCCTTTTTTTTACTTTGGGTTCCCACTTTTAAACCCTCTTCTTTTTCCCCATATACTCTTCCCCCCCTTGCATCATTTATTTTGAAAAAACTTCTCATATCTAACTTTTCCCCCTTACTACTTTTTACTTTCATTCACCAATCCCTCCTCTTCCCCCCCGCCCCCCCTTTTCCCTGTAACCACAAACTTCTGCTTAACACTCTAACATTACTTTTAAAACCCACCCCATATTTCTTCGCCCCTTGCCTATGCTCTATTAGCCCATCTATCCTCCAAAAGTGTTTTTATCTTACCCTAACGCCCCCTCTTTTAGTTTATAAACCTTCCCCTCTCTTTCCCTGATGCTTCTTTTTCCCTTCACCCCATCTACTTTTTACTCTCATGAGCTACAACTAAAAAGTGTTTTGATTATCTGGGCCCCTCTATAAACGTACACCCCTAAAGTCACCA